TTATGTCACATCGCACTATTATGTCAATACTTGGCGCACCGCTGACGGTTATTAATCAAGTTTCTTTTAATCTTATTCACTATCGATCGATTATACTGACGGTGCTGCAAATCAAACGCGCGGTATATGCATCATTGACAAGCGCAATACGAGTTATGTCATTAATTGTGATGCAATATATAGCGTAGCATCACGATCGGTTTCTGCGATTTGACGTTAACCCGCTTAAAATGTCAATTAGATGAAGGTCCAATGCGAACTTTGATTTGAAATTGCGCAGCAGAGGAGAGCGCGCGTACGCGGTTGCAGTTGTTACGTCGGAGAAGTGCTTGTTTAAACAAAACTATGTTAATAAAATAGTTTGGAAACTTTAATGCAATTCTAATTGTCGTGATATGCCAAAGTTGTTTTGTCGACATGTTAATTTTATTGCACAATTCCCGACATTTGCCAAATGATTCAAGCGCGCAACATTGCAAATTATTCTAAATAACGTTGTGCTTTTTTTAGTCTGCCGTCACGCGCTACTTTGGTCAAAATTTTCATCAGATAAAAAAACAAAACGGCACGAAGATACCAAAACAAAATCGTATTCGCGCTTTGTAGAATTTATGATTGAAGGAGCCATTCGGCACCATTTTCAGGCATACTTGTAAAGGCTACAAAGTGAAAAAGATTAAAATTGGAAGACGAGGGAGCGCGCCATCAGCCCAATCGAGATTTCAATATCACCGCGGACTTTGAACGTCGCGAGTTCACGCAGCGGACGAATGCTGCCGATCGGTCTCTCAGGGCCTTATCTGCGGTCGAGCACACACGTCCGTAGTTGTGTGTGTGTGAGACGGAAGTCGAAGTGGGGACGAAGGGAAGAATTATGCGGTAACAGACGTCTCACGGGCAAATGCGCGGAGTACATCGGCCGCTGGATCGCTGCGACCATCTGCGGTTTATCTTTTCGCCGATTTGCCGCGCAGCGGCATCTCCCGTCGCGGGGAAATTTTTCCCTCGCGGTCGGGAAAAACGGATCGAATCCGGTCGCAATCGGAAACCGAGGGGGAGAAAAAAAAAGGTATCACGGCGGGAGTTCGAATTACACCGGAATTCTTTACCGCTTTTGCAAATAAAACGCGTCGAGCGGACGCTTGACGCGCCGAAAGCGCGCACGGTAATTTTGAGCTTCAGTTTTATATCAAAAGGCACAGCTGTGTATAATTGAGAAGAGTCGAAAAACGAAAACGATCGAATTTGCGGCAAGCGTTTCTCAACGGAGGAATCGATATGTTGCCGATTATTAATCACTCACCTGCAACGATTGAGAAGCGATTAGCGAGTGTCTGTTTGAACTTGGCGGTTTACTTTCGATATATTCGAGCGTAAAGACTTTGCATTACCGCAAGCGGGATAATAGTGTTAAAGACTGGCGTCTTACTGCCGGTCTCCGCAGCTAACGCGGTCGCTTATCATTTATTATAAATTCATACAACGGAGAAAAGAGATGGCAAGAGTCGATAAAAATGTATGCGGCACCTCAGTTTTTTTCCTCGAGCGCGAAGCGATATGTGGGCAAAATCTATATCACGTAATACTGCGTAGTATTTGTTTACTTATGTTAGCACGAATTAGCATAATTTTGCTTGAATTTCACTTCTTACCACGATTGGTTTTGTATAATTTAACATATACTTCAGTATACTATCTGGCAGACTGAATAATACATGCAAAGTAAAAATATGTCCGTCGATAAAGGCAAATCACGCAGAACATTTCGTTCAAATCGTAAATTTACTCGCGCTCGAGCGCTCGTGATTTGAAAAATGTATAGAAATGTTTCCGAAGAAAATTACAATCGACTTTGCGATACTGTCGACTGTTTGAATTCCTCCTGTCTGCTCTTTCACGCTTAAAAAATGTTTCCCTGGGAGAAAAAAAATGAAGATATTTACAGAGCGTACGTACAAATGTTGCAGCATGATTCTGTATTTGACTTACGTAACTCAGCTGTATGCACTCGAGCTGAATAAAAGATTAGAATCGTACTGCCACATTTTACTTGAAGTACGTAGCACAAGATACACTATCGTACAATCTAATTTCACATACCGTACATGCCGATAACATGTAAAACTAAAAATTGTGCTGGAGTTAAGAGGCAGATAAATCGAGAAGTGGCAAAAAATAACTAGCTGAATTGCAAAATATATCACAAAACTACGGTGATACGGAAAAATCGTTATATGCACTATCGTTCAAAAGTCTAGAGTTCAAAACTCTATAATTTTTAGATAAAACCAGATGCAAATATTTTGTTCGCGGTATCAAGATTCTTATTTACAACTCCTGCAGTTTAAAGTTAAAACGACAATAAATTGTTATTTGCATTTTATATTGAAAAGGAGAATTGAATAAATTGTCTTTTCATTATAGAATAAGCAACATTGAATTGAATCGAAGCGGAAATTCAATCGCCAAAATGCCAAAATTCTGTGAAATCAAATGTGTAAATCAAAACATTGCTAACATTGCAAATATACGCAATCTTTCATTTCAATCGTAAACTTTAACCGAACGACGTGCACGTCTCTAAATTTACATATTTTCAGTGAGTACAAAAAAAGGATTCATTTATTTAAACTGCAAAGTGCTCGAAACTCTTGAACAGGATAATGCGCATAAAGAAGAAACAGCAACTAAAGTTCGTATGAATAGATTTCAGAGACAAATAATATTTACAGATTGTAGAAGATTATTTTAGAGAAAAAAACATGCTTAAATATCGCAGGAAAAAACAGAATGAAAAAAACAGCTCGATCCACCGGACGCGTTTCGGAGGCCCGTTCGGATTCGAACAATCGTGGGCCGTGCGCGTCCGAGGACGTTGAAAAAAAAAAATCGTAAGCGACAGAGAGATAAAGCTGCAGAGCGTAGAGAAGGAGGGCTCATGCAGGCGTGATGCAGCGATGCGCGATGCATAGCGGTGCAAGCTCATATAACAATCTACGAGCTACACAGCGGCATTTTCCGTGCGCTACGCTACGACTCACTGTTTATCGTCCACGATCATGGTGGCGGCTTACTATCCGGTCACCCTTACTTCCAAAATCGACACTTTACCGCTCGGTGGGTAAATGAGGAGTGAGGGGACCTCTCTCTCTCTCTCTCTTTCTGATGCGGATTAATCACACTGCAAAGAAAAACCATTCCCAAAATCGGCGAGATTAGTGTATGCGAGGTGCATTTCAAGCACACGCGCTCTTTCTCTCCCTCTTCTCTCTCTCTCTCTCTCTCTCGTCTCCGAAATGACGTTTCCAGACCTTCGTACGACGAGCGCAGCATTATCGGCTACGACGATAATGATAAGAACGTAAAGTTGAAAAAATACATCGTAAATCTCAAACACGCAATTTTTTATTACGTAAATTATTGCAAGTGCGAAATGTATTTTACAGTCATTTTATCTTATTTTTAAGTGGTTTTTTTTTAGTTACTTTATTATCCTATAAAAATCGATAGATGAGAATAAAAATAGAAAATACTATTTTCAGTTTTCGAATTGCTAGAATAGAAACTGAAGTCTGCAGAGACTCTCGTGTAGACAGAAAATGCGGTATATTTGTATATTTTATACAACAACAATCATCCAAGCGGAATAAATCTTTCTTGTTTTTTCAGAATGAGGGAAAAAAATTGTATGTTAAATATTAATAAAATATTATTTCATTAATAGATAAGATAATATCGATAATGTTGATAAGCTAATTAGAGTAGAGAATTGATTGCAGTGCTTAATTTGATTTAATACACGGATGATAAATATTCTTTTACAAAGAGCCACTTGCTGCAATTAATATGTTCGCTAAAACATAATTTTATTCCGAAGACGCTCATTGTACTGCGACACGCGTCTCGTGATTCTTTCGCAGGTGATATTTTTCCATGTTGCAAAATATTTACCGCTTTAAAAACAGCTTATCTACTTGAGCGACAACTGATATGTTTGTCTAACATGTCGAACTCATGTTTGATACGTGATAACGCAGATCGTCGCATACATTATCAAACAAAATAATCGCAACGCTTTGTGTATAAGTGCGATCATTCTGATGTGTAGAAAAAAAAATGAGATTAATTCATGAATCTTTAATGCGCCGACGGAGACCTAATTGAATATAAGATAATAACAGACTGCGCAAATTGCTCGCAATTGTATAATTAACTAATCGAAACTGTAAAAAGTACATCGCGCTATTAGGCGAATTAAATTTACAACCGTGACTTTACCCGCGTTTAATAAATAACGAGTAAACCGCAACGGTTTACGTTTACGTTCTCGCAACGTGTACATACTCGTTCGATCGCGCGACGTGAAATGGGAAACTCTCGAAGACCGATTGTCGCGGCGAGTCGATCGATCGATCGATCCCCCACGGACGATTTCTTACGGCATTGTAAAACGCCGCGAAGAATTCCTCGAACGCCGTTCGCAATTTTCCCCGGCGTCGCAGTCTTCGTTGTAGTCCGTTAACCGCACGGCAACCGACTCGGTCAAGTGCACTTTGCCCCCGATATACGCCGTGCACGTGTCAATTCGCAACGGAATGCACGCATTGCAGTCGAAGCGCGAGGCGAGAGCGAGCGCGGCTTAACGCCGATGACGGCGGCGACTAGTCGCCCAAGTTTAACCCCTGTATTATAATAATCGATCCTATTGGCGCGCAAAGTCCGCGCGCAATTTTTCTCGCGCTAATCGCGTCGGCACTCGAATCAGTCCGCTTGTCTTCGACGCGAGGAGCGGTCGAAATTCAGCGGAGCATCCAGGCGCAATTTATGCAAGAGCCTCGATGCGCATCTTAACAAAAAAAAAAAACGAACAATTGGCGTGCTGTCAACGATAAACAATTAACTGCGAAGTAACGCGGCAAAAAATGTACAATCAATTGCGTACGCAACGAACAACCTGTTCTGCAATTTGTATTTCACATTCCTTCGCTATCAAAGGTTTTTTTTCAGCCGTATCAAAGACGATGAGTTAAGGCGAATCAAACATTATACAAAACGGTGAACCTTGATCGGCTCCTACGAGACTACGATCCAAAGTTCGCACTCGTTCAGAGATAACTATTGAGATTCGTGACACTTGATTCGGCACGAAAAGCGACCAGGCTCGGATCTGTGATTCCGCAGCTGTTGTTTAACTTTTAAAGGACGCTCGATGGAAATTAGAGAAAATAATTCGTTTGTTTCTCCCCGAAGCTAGCGAACAGCCCTTCTTTCTCCGTTCGACGCAACTTATACGGGCACGTTTTCTTTACACTCGAATTCAATGGCATGCGACGCAAAGTGTGTTAAAATTGAAATCGCGAATTGCGAAATATCTTACATAAACCATTCGTATTCCAAAAGTCTGCTGATAAAAGATGTAAAAAAGATCGGCAAAAAGTACATATGCTTTTCAAATGAAACTCACAGCGCAAAAATCTTTATCTCCGCGTCAACATTGCGCAAAGGTTAAATTCGGGCCGCGTGTCGTCCGACGGTTAAAGTCCGAATATATAATTATACACCGAAAAACATTGAGCAATCAGATTCCACGTGCAGCCGACATTATTAAGCGCGCGAGATTCGCGCGCGCGCAATTTACTTCTTGACTTGCTCATTGCTCGGTTTTTTTTCTTTCTTTTTTTTTTACCGTTTCGTTTTATCGACGAGTACGAAGTTCGATGCGAGGGAATATCTATAAAGTGGTGCTATCGCGTCGCGTAATACCGATAAAGGTCCCGTCTACTGGCACTATTCCAGGCGTTGCGTCACTACTCGCATCCGTAGCCTTCATTCATCGCGTCGTGACGAATGCTCGCGAGATGGGCTGCGCGCGCGATCGATTACACCTCTGACGCCCAAACGTTTATAAACTGCCGGACGTAATTAAAGCCGGCGCACGAATAATACTGTTTATTTTCGCACGCCATATTTATTCGCAGCGCGCGCGCCATATTGCTTCGCTGTATTATTGTCTTGGACAAAGATCAAATCAATTTACATACGTAACGCGCGTTAAAGTCTTGAAGCACTCGATTCGATTAAAGCGCGCTTGTACACGCTTATTCGCACAGCGCGATCATACGTGTATAAGTGTAAAAAAATATATATACAAAAAGTTGTGTATGTTCTTCTGTGAAAGAATGTAAAACGTTGAACAAATTATGAGCTATGTACACGCTACAAATGTCGCAAACTCATGTTTCAATGTCCACAGATAATTTGAAGATAAAAATGCTCCAATAAGACTTTGTACTTGTGCTTGAATGACAAGAAACATTCGTCCTTCTGCAAGAAAATAACTTGCTTTAATGCGACGAGCGCCACGATCGCTCTTATGAATCAACATGTCTCGCAGAACTTTCGAAAGATAATTAAAAGACAATTAACAGACAATTGTTCAATTATTCTTATTGAAAGCGTTAAATTGGCTTCTTTTATTGGCATATTTGCTGCTTATTCCATTTGCCATTATTTCATTTACTAGCTCATCAATTCCTCCTGCACAATTATTATTCATCGCTAATTTATTTCAAATTGTTTTATTTTTACAGTAAAGTGTATCTTTCGAGATAAAACGGCCGTCGCGAATGCCGTAAACACGTGCTTTCTAACATTCGCATTAATCATGAGCGTATCATTTGACGCTGACGAGCAGGAAATGCTGATCTCTTTCCTGCGTGGCGTACTACGACCTTGGTTAACTTGCTTCGAACAACACGGGTATCCGAATTAACGTCACTGACCCAATTTACGAGCACACACCCCCTTAAGCGCGCAGTAATAAGCCGCGCTCGCGACACACGAATGACCCCGTCCTCCGCTACGTATTTAGCGAACGTGACACAATCGCGTATGCGAGTGTAATTCGAAACCGCATGTCCGACGAGCTTCCGAAGATTGCACTTCGATTCGAATCAAACACGACAATCCGAACGTTCGCCGGCGCTTATTAGCAAAATAATGAGAAAAAAAATACAAGGGTTTGTTTTGCACAATAAATTTGATTTTTCATAAAATAAGATCGCTGATTCCGTACTGTTTTTTTTTTATAAATTTATATCAGCGTAAGATAAAGATTGCCGCTAAAACAATAATATGTCTGTGTATTTTATAATTTGCATTTATTTTGGCTACGACAGACGTAATAATTTCTTCGATTTCTTGTCCGATGATAAATCCGAAATCGTATTCAAAAATATTGCATAACAAATAACAAGAATAGATAATTAAAATCGAAATAAAATTTTTGAAAACTACTTGCCTAGTCAAGTTTCAAATTTGTTTCCAATTATTTATCTTCAAGGTAAATTAGTTTTCAACGCACGTCGGAAAATATCGCTGTATTCATCGATAGCTGAAATTATAAATAATACTCATATCAGGAAGATAATAAACAAGAAATATGTTCTTAAGTGGAATTTAATGACACTTAGACAGATAAAGAACTCGAGAAATTTTACATAATAGCCTGCTTATGTAACAACTGAATGTCAGCTCTTGAACTTGTTCTATCTCGTATCTGTTGCGTTGTTTCGTTTGTTCGTTTACGATAGTCCTGTTTTTCAAATTAGCATGAATGCAATTTCTTTTGTGTGCCATTCAATTACCAAAGCAGCAAATATTCTAATTGAAACATCATCTAATGCATTCCCATTTCAATGTTTTGTGAAATAATATTTTCATTCCTTCTTTCTTTCTCCTTGTGATCAATGATCATCACAATTTCAACTGTTGACATAATCGATCACTAGTCTTACAAGGAGTGACACTTGATCTACTTTTCTACGCACTGGCAAAACGACGGAATAAGAAAATTTACATAGCGTATTGACGCCACCAATCGTGCGGGAGCCCGACACCCGCAGTGGGGTAATCAATATTCTCAAGGACATCGTTAAAAAAACGTGTTCACTTGCGCACACCCATAATATCAGCTTTATAGATGATATCAATTGAATGTAAAGAAAAATGTACAAAGACGACATAAACGGAATGAATGATGTGTTTCGCGAAAGTTCGACATTGCGATACGCGTGAAAATTTTAAGTAGCGCTAAGATAAAGCGGCCGGCCGATTGCTCAAGACTGAACGATCAATCACGCACTTTAATTTCCATCAATCACGATTAAGTGCGCCTTAACGCGAATTATTCCGCTGCGAGCGATTACGCAAGTTTGTTAGCGTTAAAACATATCGATGATTGCGGCGAACAATCCTGCGATGTATAGAACGCAACGAGTTAATTACATCGTTTAAATGCAAATCATCTGCGTCGGTTTTGCATTGCAGTATGAAAATTAATTCCCTACGTGTTAAAAAAGACCGATAAATTTACACAAATAACATGTAATAATTATAAACAAATATTATAAATTTACATGACTTTATAAATTTCACATTATATTTCATGATTTCCATCATTTGTCGTGCTATTTTTACATTTTATTTGTAAATGTATCGAACACTTTTCGTGCAAAAATTTACCGAATTCTTTTACAGTGCCGTACAAACATTTAATTTAAACTTTTAATTTCACGTAACGCAAACTTAACTGCTATTGGATTCCAGATCAGATCTTAAGGATCAGCTCTTCGGTGAGTAAGAACAAAACCTTCGGATTTCACACGCTTCAATTCCTAACTAATCGAGTCACGAATGATCTAATAGCGTTTTCGATTATACCGATTTTCATCGATCCAAGGTTGATTAATGACGTCATTACATCGTCTCCGTCAATAAAAGACGTGAATTCACAGTAAAATGGTGATTGATCAACCTTAAGTCGATCAAAATCCGTATAATCGAAAACGCTATAAGATCGAACAAAGATTAAGATACAATCTCAGACAATTCTCGTAAGAACCAATCAAGAAACGAATTTGATTGAGAAAGAAGAAAAAAAAGTTCTGTATTATGAGTATAATAATACACATATTGCAAAATGGTTTTTCTACTCGGAATAGCAATAAAATTCCTCGATTTGGTATTTCAGAATTCATTGAGATGGATTGTATACCTGTTTTCTGTCTCTTTAGGGGCTAACTTTGTCCCTTGGCGACGATACATCACATAAAAGGCCGCAGGTCACTAAAATAACCGAGACTTTTTGTGATCCCGAAAAATTTTCCAGAAAATAGCTGAATTTCAAGCAAATCTCATACACGAAAGACGTATAGTGTGAAAAATACAATATAGTGAATTTAAAAGTTTCTTTCTAATAGTTTCCTCTTCTCCGATTATCTGTCGATCGACGCGATAAAAAAACAAATAAAAAGAAAGAACATTCTAGCACAGCAAGAAGCAATATATTTAATATTACGTGTCTAAACATATATATACATCTCGAAATAGAACTTCCGAGAGTTTCGACATAACTACAAGATAAGATTCCCATCTCGAAAACAATAATCTTTTAAACTTGACATTGTGTGACTGCGCATAATGTTATAAATATTATGGATTAGTCGTTTTGTGGCTTCTTAAAAACTCCAGAGGATTCATACATCTTTCATTGCGTAAGCGTTCGTTGCATAACGATATGATTTAAATAGAACGTCTTTCAAATATATCGCCTTTAAATCTGTGAGTTGACTTTGCGGCTGTTAAAAATAAATAACGGCATTCACGATTTTTACACTCGCGCATGATTTTGACAGAAAGTTGCTCGATCGAAAAAATTCTGACTTGGATTGCGCGATCGAATGATCGCGAGACAATGTCAGTATTTTGTTATCAATTTGTACGAGAAATCTGTACTCGATTTCACCTGATTACCGAGCTCCAAGACGAGCAGCTTAATCCTGTAATCGTGCCGATCTAAAAAACCTGTTCCACCGCCGCGAGCGGAAGGGAATTGACGGAAGAGGGACCACTAGGGGGAAGATTTCACGCTACATCGCCATTATTAATAACCTCGTGCGCGCACGCGGTCAACGATGAAACCACCATGTACTACTTTACGGATTGTTTCCGTCTAAGCGATCATTCACGTCCGTCTGCCTCGAATACCGTCGCACTCGATCTCGCGCATCGCAACCGTGACTGATTTCACCGGTGGCCAATAAGCAACCAGCCGACAGCTAAGACACAATTCCATTTAATTCAAAATTTAAGACACAATTCCATTCTTCAAAAATAATTATTTCACCTTAATAGGTAAAGAAACTAATGTGGAAATAATGGAAAGATAAAGTCGATATTATAATGAGAATCGTCATCATAAATTAACGATCTTTTTCCCTCCGGAAATAGTAAAACAAATAATGAATAATTTATTGGCAGCTCGTAATTATTCATCGGGATTAATACGATTAACTCCACATTTCAATGTACGCGGATTAACATTGTTAATATCTGTTTATTTGATTGTCGTCTTAATGCATATTCAAATAAAAATAATTTCTTCATATCTTTCTTCACGTGTGTGAAACAAAATGATCATTTTTGCATAATAAAAACATTTAGGCTATATTTTAAAATTAATTATATAGAATCTCAAATTTATTTGTTAACATCGAAAAGTGGAAATTATTTCATCGTTATAACAAATACGACAAGAACTGATTAATCGAAGACATTCTTCAAGAAGAAGAAACATCATTTTGTTATTCTAAGAAAATATAAAAAAAGTAATTGAAGGTTGAAAATAAAAAACATTTTTTTATTGTGCCTAGCAAAAAAGACGATGTATCATGTGCGCATTGAAAGCAAAGTCGAGAAATATTATCCTATCAAGTATAGAGAGTCAAAAGAATTATTACAGCTATTGCAAAGACGTTTCGCGACATGTAATCTTAAATTATTATTATTGCATTTGCTTTAAAAAAGGAACTCATAAAAAACCCGTAAAAGAATTAACGATGTACGGAAGAATGCTCAGAATTTTTATCACTGCAATCTGTTTAAATATGCATTTTGATTGAATAAATACGCAAATTGGTGGCGGTTTCCTGCATAATTATTTATACATTCATTGATAAAAATGTCGACTGATTTAATGATCATTGAGCCATCGTTTGACGTGACAGGAAATTTTTCGCGCAATTGGTAATTTTATCCCAGATCGATAAGGAACTGATGACTCGCATTTCCGTTCGCGAGATGTCTCGCATAAACGCGATCGTTTCAGCGTGCACTGACACCGAAGCGGTATATAATTTCTCGTGGGTTGCGTCGCCAGGAAGTCCTACGGTTGACTCAGAGAATCATCGCGAAATGTTGACGCGCGATGCGGAGCGGGGAAAAATCGACTTTGCGCGCGTCAAAGGAGAGTTTAACTCGTTGCGAAAGTACCGGATGCTACGAGTCTTTCAAGAAAGCGTATACTTCCGCTCCATATTAAAGATTTCGATGTTTGATCGATAAATACAGTCTAACAAAGCGATTTAAATCGTTCAAACTCGATTTTTCTCTGTAAATAATAAAATACTCAATTCAAAACTTTTCTAATGCAACATTATTTTAAACATTAAAAAATTAATTACATGTTTATTAAAAATGTGGGCACATTCGACACTTGTTTTCATAGATAAAATCTGAGTTTATACATGTGTATATATAAAAAAATTCAAAAAAAAAATTTATATTACACGACAGCGCTTGTGAAAAATATTAAGAGGGATATAAATTTAAAATGCTGCGCATGGCTTAAATTAAAATTTAAGTCTTGAGCAAATTTAAATAGTTATTATGACTCTTAAATGGTTCTTGAAAAAATTTGCACATTATAATCTGCAAGTCTGAAAAATTTAAATTTTTATAGTAATAAATAGAAAGTTTAACATTTATTAAATCATTAAATTAAGTAAAGCCAATGCAGGATACTGATGCTAATAATTAAGTACGAATGTTATCTAAAAATTCATTTATTGTTAAAGTAACAATGTCTTTTACGACAATTACGTTAATAGCGCACTCCACTTTTATGGCTTTTCACGCTTTATTTGGAAATAATATTTTTATTCTAAAAAAATCATTACTGATTACAAGATGTAAATTTTACGAATTCCAAACAACATGCGATAACTTTATTATTTAATTCTCCCTCAAAAAACCCGAGGTATGTAAATTTCTCTTTATTATTTTAGTAGAATCTAAAATATAAACTATATTTAAATAATTAATTCTATTATCCTGATTGAAAATGGACCAAACCGCAGACTAGAATGTTTCAAAATAAATTTCCGCATATGTAATATTCGAACTGATTTATTTGCGCTACTATCCTGCGTCGAAGCGCATACCGCCGTTGCTGATTTAACGATCTAATAATCTCTTTGCGTATTTCTATTCCTGATATTCCTTCGCTATTGCGTTAACCGTTAAGCATTACGGTGCGTCGTGCTAATGACACGAAAAACACGCGGACACGGCAAGGTTCCGACGGCCACAGGTGGCAGACACGCTTAGTCGGCGTGCATCAATCAGCAAGCAGGGCCATCGCTTACCTTGCGAATCGCAACAACGGACACTTCCCCCTTATTCGTCTTCCTGCTTCACCGAGATTGCCGAGTCGCTCTTCCAGCCGACTGCCGTTCGCTCGCTTTTCCCACCGCGATCAGGCGTGCGCGCGCGCGCGCGCGCGCGAGAGAGAGGAAATTATCACTACGCGCGATTCAAGGGTCAAGAATGGTGTGGGTGTACGCGTGTGTATGCCGTGTTCGCGCTGCGCGTCTCTCTGCCTACGTTTCTGCTCGGGTGTGGTGCGTGCACGTCGCCACCAAGGTAGATTGAATGGAATATTTATGTGTATGTATGTGTGTGTGTGTGTGGAAGAGGAAAGAAGAGGAGACGCAAACCCGCGCTCCGAGACAGTCGGCGAACGACTAAACAACGCGCTACGTAAACCGGCACGTTATCACGCACTGAATCACACGGGCTTGTAACTTTCGAGTCCGCACTACCTTTGATCTTTGATCTCGGACCCACGGCGCGTGCACCGCGAGGTCTCAACTCACGCGATAAAGCGACGCCACGCGACGATCGGAGGTGGAAACGGTGCGCGCCGGCCAGCTGTCCGGCACGGATCGGCACCGGCGTTGAGAACGAGACTTTGCTCGCGGTTGAACTCGATACACAACCACCATCCTACTATCTGTCCTACTTCATCGGACACACTTTCGAAAACTATACACTTAGAGGATCTCGAACAATCTTCGGTCGACCTTAGACAAACCACTTTTGGAATTAAACTCCGATTTCGAAAACAAACATTGTCGATTACCCGAATAAAGTCCACTGTTTGTTTTAAACTGTTAGAAAGTTAGTTTAATTAACATTACGGTAAATATGTATTTTAGGTTACAACGATTTTGTCGCCATTTATGTATTGTAGGGGAAGTTGTTCCGAGTAATTCATCGCAAAAACCAAGTGGAACATTGGTTCAAGAGATATAACAAGTTAAAGTTTCACAATTTTAATGCTTCTTTAGGTGTTAGAAACTGATATTACGAACAGTGAAGTGGATAATCTTATTATTTGATTGAAAGAATCTGTTTACAACTTTCACACGCGGGCGGAAGAGGGGGCGGAGCCCTTCATATCCACCACAAAAAACTCTAACCTAACCTAATTCCGACTAGTTAATTGAAATTAGGTTAGGTCAGATTTTTTTGGAGCGAAGCCGCCGACGTATTCCATAAATATTTTTCACTAGAAAAATAATGACGCTCACGAATTCAATCGACAGCTGCTTCACACCGTGGACGTTTAACGTATCCGCGAATAATTTTTCGATCAATAAGAAAATCTAATAATATATTGCAATCCTCAACAAAGCTTAGAAAGCTGTTGACGAACTGCGAGAAATAGGCCGACTGAGAAAATATCTATGATCATGTAGCTATCTTTTAAAAAATGTAAACAAAAACTTTACATAACGTGTTTGTGTACAAACACGTACATACAGCGTGCATAAACTTCACGTAATGTATAATGCAATATAGTAGTTTATAACAGCAGAAGAATTAAAATTGCGAAACTTTAATTTATTATATCTCCTAAACCAATGTCGTCTCCCACTTGATTTTTGCGACGAATTACTCGGAACAACCTTCCCTACATATCTAAATGGCGACAAAAACGGTAACCTAAAATGCGTATTTATCCGTTTGAAATTGAACAGCCCGAAAACGAAGCACGTGACATTCGTCAGATTCACAACTGACGTAGTCGCGTGACCATATCGAAACGAGGAGTCGAATAATCGATTGAACTACCGAAGTAATAATAGTACAAGTATGCCAGGTCGGCGCCTGAGTATCTCCCACGGCTCCAAGTGTAACGGGCTTCCAAGGATTTAGATTAAGGTTTGAGTGTGCACTGCAGCCAATAATATCGCGCCACGCTCAAAGCCGGAGAAACGAATGACGTTCAAATTGCTCGTTCGTACTTTAACGCTGGTGACGAATTTGTGCGGACAATGAATCAGAAGGAAATACAAATACCTCACTAAGAAATTTGCGGAAAACTAATCTTGAATTCAGAATTCTAAGCAGTTATTGAAACATTATGAATATCTCAATGTCAATAATCATAACAAGTCTTGTGTATTCCGTTATCTGGTATTTGCAAAATAAAAATATTATGCGAATGTATAGTGATATAATTTCTCTCAACATGGCTATTCAACGTGCGACTCTCTTAATCTTTAGAATGTTTTGAAAATTTTTTTAAATAACCATCTTGCTCTAAGAAACAATGTATTGGATTATTCAAAGTTGTCTCGTAATGTCTAAGGATTAATATATGCTAAATAATTAGTTTTCACTATTAAAGTTCTAACAGTGATTTATATCGACGACAATTTATATAATTTATTTCGATGGTTATGTAAAGTCTACTACGCATTAACCTAATTGTTAAAACGCGTATTTCGACAATCGTTGAAAATCAACTCCGCAATTGTACGGCAATCACCGTTTAAGGTTTCTCGTACAAAATCCAGCGGTAAGAATATTCGTGTTTCTTCCCGGATCACTGCGGTTTATATATTAGATTTTATCACAAGGGCATTGCTTACGTTATTCTTGCGGATTGCGATTTGAAGGACGTGTCACGCTCGACCGCTCGTCACGACCAGCTCCCGTACAATGTGGCTCCTCGCCACAGTTACCGAAAACTCGAAAGAAAGTTCCTACCACAGTTTACACGGTTTCCTGCCTCACGCGCGAATGAAGCGAATTTTGACTCTCAGCACTCAACCGAGCGACTTCGCTGTCATCGTCGTCACAAATCGGGATGCTGCGTCGCACACTCATGCCACGAGTACTCACTCCGTCGTATCACGCGCATACAGCACGACTGGCTGCTGGGGTATATGTACGCGGCAACGCCGATGCGGGACATGGGCCGACTCCAAGGATCAACACCGGGGCCATCTTGCCGCCTGAAACTAGCGGGATCGATGGGCCGCCGCGAGCGTCCCCTGTCGAGCGTCGTCGAGCACCAACCGTTATAGTTTTCAGAGTTTCCGACCTTTATCGCTGTACCGCGCGCCGCCCTTTCAAAAAAAATTCTCACCCCTCGCGTCTCCTGCGTTCCGCGAAATTGAATAAAAAGTTTGTCGTGAAGTATGCGTCAGTTTTTAAAAATGTTAATAATTTGTCATATATTTTAAATTGAAAATCACCTTACTTCGAAAGCGCATGTAAGTATTCATTGTACCGTTTAACATTCTGTACACGGATGATTCTACAATCTTGCGAATACCGTTCTACTTATTTAAAATAACGAGCAGCTTTGTTACGCGTCTTGCATTTATCGAATGCTCAACTAATGCTCTGGAATCACCAAATACTTCCTGATAAGATTATTTTAAGACCTTTTTTTGTTACACATGAGTTTTACATGAGTTTCACATTTTCATAGAATAATTTTACACAATCCCAAGAATGGTCACAGATCAAGAACATAAAAAATTGTACATGTTTAAAATGTGAATAAGAAGTTATTTATTTCCGTATATTTTTTCTATAAATTTTAAATCATTTTTCTTTGCCTTCTATAAAACATTAAACACACAAATTTTAAAATAAAATTATATTAAGAAGAAAAAGTTTAAAAATTCTATATACGGTCGAATGCAAGTAAGCTGATTTAACTTTTTACTTTTTGCAATAAGCAATTTTTCTGTCAGCATATATCATATAAAGTAATTCGAAATTTTACGGAATTAGGTGACTCATGAAGCGCGCTACTATACGAGTTTAAATTTCTATCGTCTCAGCAGCACCACGTTGATATCAGTTAGAGGTAAATATAGTCGACTCAATTTTCTTTCTCTCTTGGTTGCATTGGTCAAAGCTTACTTTGCGGGCCGCAATATGGTAACGTCGGTCACTTACAAAGTTACACGTGTTTAAGCCGGCACCCGGACATGTTTCGAAAATACTATATGTACGTTATAAGTGCAAATTTTAAATCGACATTAAAAACAATAATTGAGAGTTGAAAGTATATGCGCCATTGCTGACGCAGGAAATTTGTAACGTGCAAATTGCATCATGTAATAATTTATCACTCATTTGCGCATTAATATGTGCGAAGAGATTACCATAGAGATTACTAGATACAGTGAGTCAGTCTACAATCTATAATTTTGCATACACACGGTAGCACATATAAAACGAAAGATTTTTTTTTTTTTTTTG